CCTAATGGAGGGGCAGTAAAGATGACTTTGCAGTTCCTTTTGCTAGATGTGGACATGGGAGAGGTGATCACAGCCCTCAGCCCACCCAGGAGATGTTCCCTGTGTCGCTGGCCTTGCTGGTTGTCCCAAGTTAGCATTGCAGTGCCTCTCTCTGTGATAAAGCAATTATCCTGCTTATCTTCTACCCTGCAGAATTATGTTTATTATAAACAGTTAGACTCGGTGGGGTTTTTTGAATTTTTTAAATTTTTCTTTTTAAATCTGTGTTAAAGCGGGCTTTTGGAAGCATCCTGAGGAGAGTGGCAGGTGCCACAATGCACAATCATACTAATTTTCTACTGTTTCCCTTTTGCCCCGGGCAGCGAGCCAGACCCTCTCTTGGACAGTTTGTGGAAGGAGGCAAGACTGGACAGAAAGAGGCAGATATTTCTGCAGTGAAGTCTGGTTTCTCGATTAAGAGGCTGAAGTCCAGTATTGCCTGAAACCAAGCTGGTCAGACAGAGGCACCTCCTCTGCTGCCATCTCCAAAACTTGCTTCAGCCAAGCCCTTCAAAACATCTCTCACTATTCCCCAAATATGTCAACGCATGATCCCATGTCCAGGCAAAAGCATCTTTGCAACTGGCTTCCCCCTAGACACAGGCTGTGTTTGCAGCCAAGGCTCTCGCCTTCTTTTTCAGCTGTGTTTCCCTGGACAGGATGGAGGGAGGCGACGGCCTCCCACGTCATTACCATGGGAAGTCAGGCAACCAGTGAGGTTCATTGCGACGCGACGGCCTCCCACGTCATTGGGAAGTCAGTTACCATGGGAAGTCAGGCAACCAGTGAGGGTCACCACCCCACTGGGCTTAGCTGGAGAAACCGAGGCAGAAAGTGCCCTGCCGTGCCTGGGGTGAAGGAGCGCAGAGCCAGAAGCACCCACTGCTGCTGGGTGCCTATCCCCTCCTGCAAACATCCAGCCAGAGCGAGTGCTGCGGCCCCAAGCATCCTGCAGCAGCGAGCGTTTCCCTTGCACGTGCATGCGGGGTCATGCACTGCTGCCTCACCAGCAATTGCTGCCTGGGCTCCCCACAGCGAGCCGGCCAGGTCCCCAGCAGACCTCACGTGGCATTTGCTGCCCCTGTTTTGAATGTCCCTGTTATAGCGTATTATTATTTACTGGCCAGTGACAAAGACAGACACGCACCTGGGGACTGAGAATTAGGGTAAGCCCAGAAATATTCCCCACTCAAAAAAATGCCTGCTGTTATTACAGAGAAAAAAGCTCTATTAAAAGAATGAGAGACTGTTAAAAGGTTGGCACTGGTTCAAAACAAACATGCTTGAAGGCCCCAGAAGATCCCTTGGAAAGTCACCTTTGAACCTGGGGGGCAAAGAGAAGATGTATAGGAGAGGTGAAAAATGAGAATTCCAGATGTTCTCTTGAAGTCTTTTTTCAGGGACAGCTGTAGGATCTAGAACAGGGGCACTGCCATGTTTAAGAGGGTGCACCGTGCATTTTTAATGTTCACCTTCTTCCAGCTCTTGGCCTGAATGCCTCGTGTAGTACTGAGGAAATGTCCCACAGGGTCTAAACCAGTACGTAGCTCCAGCACTGCAATGCTACCCTTCACAGCCCCTCCAAATAGGAGCCCTCAACCCTGGGCTCATCTAGAAAGGCACATTTTTTTTAGTCAGAAAGAATTACCCTTTTTTTCCAGATGAATATGAAGGAAAATTCTGAGCCTAAGTGAGTGCTAACCACAGTGTCCAACACATGGCAGGGGCATGTCAGCGAGCTGCTCCAGGGTGGTACTTTCCAGAAGGCATATCCTGGCCATTGGTCCACCGCAACCTAAATTTTCATTAAAAAATAATACAACAAAAACCCCAGAAAGATGCAACATGGTTGAGTCTTTAACTCTTTGCATGGCTCAGCACCAGAAGGCCATCCTTGCCAAGGGGGAGCAGTCATGCCCACCTCCCTGCGCAATGGGGTGAGTCAGGGCAACGCTGCTCTGCACCATCTCGGAGCTGGAGGTGCTCCCAGACGGAGAGCGCTCTCCTCACCCACCTCGTGAGCATCCTGTGGGACTCACACAAGGAGATCCCTTTGGGATCAGTGCATGCATTTGAGCCTGAAAACTGCCGCCCTCCCCACCCCACATTTGCAGGCTCCTGCTGGTGGTTCCTGCTGCTGGCTTATCGTCCGCCGTCTGTCAGCGAGGAGCCCTCGACATTTTTCTGTGACACATCTCAGATGTCACTTAACTCCAATGCCTGTCTTGGTTTCGGTTTTTAGGAAGCTGAAAGAGCTCAGGAACCAGGAAACAATGGTGAGATCCAAAGACCTCAGTGCCGCAGGCATTTTGTGCTGATGCAGAGGCATTCTCCCATTTTCCTGTCCCTTTGGGGAACCCTGCAACTTTCCTCTCCACTCCTCTGCCCTTTGGGCTGCAGCAGAAGCCCTTCCTCACAGATAGCCAGCCAAAAGTGGTAGGGGTTTTCCCTCTCGCAGGCCCAAACCTTAGGAGAGAAAAACCCTGCTTGGTTTTTAAGCGCTTGCCAACCTGAGTAAATTCAGAGCCATTCTATATAAAACAGAATGAAGCAGAGAAGCTGTAAAGGTCAGCAGGCACCGCCGGCGGTGCTGAGACACCGGCAGCTTCATTTCCCACTTCCTTTTCTGTTACTATTTTCTCTACCAGAGGCTTCTCAAACTCCATGTTTGCAGCAGGGTGCAGAAGAAGAGTAGATCTCTGAACGGGCACTGCATACTGAACCACCACAGCTGCCGGGACGGACGCTCCTGCGCAGCCCTGCGCTCTCAGCTACCTGAAATCCCCCAGGGCCCTGCTCCAGCCCCCCGCTCTCACTTGCCCCCAAATTCCCCAGGGACTCTGCTCTGACCCAGCGCTACATTCGTGATTGCCCTGAAATCCCCCAGGACTGCAGCTCAAAAACTACCACCGCTTTCTCTCATAGGCATGGGGGGATTTTTTTTTTTCCCTTCGTGTAAGAGGCACTGGTACCTCCTGGGGTGAACCGGGGCTCTGGAGACCTGGTGTGTGGCACATCAAGTGACCGCCGGTCGGTAAAAAGGCTTGGCCTCCACAAAATGCAGCCTCGGCCATGCTCAATCCTGTTTTTTGCTCCTGCTTTCTGCTGCTGTCCCTTCCCTGCCCATTCACTAGATGCCCTCAGCCACCTAACCACCACCATAATCAAAAATAAAAGATAAAGCAAGGCAACGGCATCATCAAGCACCTCAAGATGCAATGTAAAGCAGCACCACTGGACATAGCAAAGACTAGCCCTAGTTTGGAGGAGGCTGAGGTCACCCAGGGGCTGAGCTGGGCCATGCTGGGGGCTGCGGGGAGAGCGCTGCCCCGAAACACCAAGGGATGGGGCAGGCACGCAGGCAAAGAGTCCCAGTAATGGCTGGAGGCTCCGCTCAGGCTGCAGTGAATGAATGCTGGAAAAGCATGGGGAAAGAGAAACCAAGGCTGAAAAAGGATGGGGAACCCCCCCCAAGGTCTCCCCCCCAGCGCAGACCCTGAGCGGGGCCCACAAGACCAGCCGTGCTCCCACACAGCAGGCGGCCCCCCCGGCTGGGAGTCAACCAGGAGGACGGGGGCTGCTCATGAAACTAGCGAACAGTTTCAGCTGAAGCAGCTGGGGAAATGCTGAAAGCGCCTTTCATTTTTACTTTTTTTTTTTTTAAATAAAATATTTAATTTCCATGCGGTGACTTCATTTCCATGTGGCAGCTTCATTTCCAAGTTGACTGTTGTGCCTCCGAGGGCGCCAAGAAAGAGACAATCCCGAAAATGAAAGAAAACACCGATCTCCTTCCCGAGCTCCCGACCCTGCGGCCGGGGACCGAACCCTCCGCCCGCGCAGGGGACAGCGTGGCCGTGAGGCCGGCCCGCGCCGGGAGGCGTGGCTGCGTAAGTCCCACCGGGAACCGGGAAGAGGCCGCCTCCCCGGGCGGCGCCGGCTCGGCTTCGGCCGGCCCCCCCTCCCCCCCTC